TTTTTTTTTTTTTTTTTTTGCATGCATTCCCAAGAGGTCGTGCCTATAAGCCACTGATGAAAGGAAATAACATTCTGGTGGACTTTCTTCGTTCTTGACTGATCCTAATGAAACCAACAAAGCAAATCCCCGTAGAGACGGTGAAAAACTTTTGGAGGGGAAAAATAAACTGGGCTCAAACTGTTATATGCAAACCTACCCGGTGCCTACTTTTTTATTATTATTTTTCCTCCGAGAAAAAAAAAACAAACATTTTATTTATTTATTGATGACCCATGTTAAAATGCAAATAGATCCGGTGTCTAAATGCATTCCTATTTTTATGATTGTTTTGTAAATATCATTGTATATTATTTTTCTGCAATAAAGAAATATGATTGAAATTTTAAGAACCTTCAGGTTTGGTCTATGTAAAACTCAGGGGCGAAGCTGGAGATAAATACCTGCTTGTTGAGCTGTAAAGACACCCAGGAGAGAGGGGAAACCAATATAAACAAACGGGGCGAAAAACGCAAATAAACTAGCTACTGACAGACACAGGCGTGTTATTTATAGAGACAGCTTTATTATTCTGCTTTGGAGCTCGCTGGGCTCCGGGGTAAGATATTCTCTCTCTTTTTCTTTTAATCAGACTCCCAATAATATTCATTAAGTGAAGAGCAGAATTGATCGCTCCTGCAATGGAAATGCCATTCTTTCCTTCCCCCAGGTTTTTTGCCTCTGAAGTGGAGGCAGGAATAAGAAACGTGCCCCAGCTCCTGGTGCTCGGTTGTTCGGTTGAGACAGGATGGAGGGCAGAGAGGGGCAGCAATTTTAAAGAAGAGGCATTAAAAGGCAAAGCGAGGGGAGGGGGGAGAAGGAAATAGATCTGTGGGTGGCATGCGACCGTTTAATATTTTTAGTTTCAAGAACACAAAGCAAGTTTGCCATGTGCAGAGGGGATACAGGAAACTAAGCCTGTTTTCCTTTCTTATCTGTAGACAGTAGCGCTTCGTTCAGTTTTGTCTTCGTTTTTTGTAAGCCTTTCTCGTTTAAAGTCTAATATGCGGTGAAAGCGCAATTGTAGAGAAGAGTGGATCTTCAGCTTTTAACTCTCAGAATTACTGTAAAAATAGTAGCTGCTAAAAATACAAAACAGCTTGTCTAATCTCCTTATCAGGGTCTTTGTAATTTTATTTGTCGATCACCAGAGAAGTATTGCTATCTATCTATCTATCTATCTATCTATCTATCTATATAGAATATAGAGATATAGATAAATATACCTATATATAGTATATATCTATATCTATACATAAATATAGATATATCTATACATAAATATACATAGATATATACTATATAGATGTACTGTTAATATTCTATATCTATAGACAGACAGATATAGTGTATATATATACTGTTACTATACTATATCTATATAACTATCTATAGATATAGATATAGAAATATAGATATATCTATAGCTAGGTAGATATATCTAGATATATATAGCATAGTAACAGCTATATCAGCAACAGTTCTTTGTTGATCGATGGGATACAATTAAAATATGTGCGTGTGTATTATATATAATATGCAGAATGGTTCTTTTCACAAGTGTTTCGCAGGCACGACTTCTTGAGACTTGTTATGTACATATACTTAATATATATATATATATATATATATATATATATAAAACAGTCTCAAGAAGTCGTGAAACACTTGTGAAAAGATCCATTCTGCATGTATCTGTTAGATCTGCAGAGATATCTGCAACTGAAGCATTGCTTCTCAGCTTTCTGCCTGCAGATCAGTCTCAAAGCAGACCGTGGAGCAGCAGCGCTTGCTTTTTCTTTCTTCCTTGGAAATTATACTTTGCGATCAATAGGCTAATGGTAACAGTAGTAGTGGGCGTCCTCTGGTCAGAGCCTAGATCAAGCTGGAGTAACTCGCACAAGTAATTGAGGTTACGCGTTACCAGTTCCTTCTGGCGCCCATGTTCACGCAGCCTCTCGGGGAAAGCAGCCGATGTGCTTATTCCAATCAAGTCGTGTTTGCCTAGCTCAGGTTGCGTTTACTTGCTGTCCTGAATGTTTTTGTTTCCATGTCCACATATTACCATATCTTGCTGACCTACCAGTATTGTGAATTTAATATCGTGCATATTTGAGCCCAGTGCGCAATGTTTACAGTCGAAAGCCCGCAGCGTTTGTTTGTATTAAGGGATTAGCAGGGACTTTGAAAATTGGATTTGGGTTGCGGTGGTCCCAGCATTAAGTATCAGAGAGGAGCGTGAAAATGGTGGGGATGCTGAGGTCGGGAGCGGGGGAGCGGTCGCTGTTCCCGGCCGGTCCCACCACTTGGATTGCTGAAGTCTCAGGTTCACTCCGTCATAGTCTGATCGCTTAATATTTCAGATGTCTTGAAAAGCTCCCGCACGGATGAGCGCCCCGCACCAAGTAGAAAGGTAATGCTTCCTTACCTCTGCTGCCTTTGCTAACGGAAAAGAGGGGGTCGGCTTGATAGCTGCCACCTTTGGCTATTATTGCTTTCTCTTGCAGAGAAAAAAAAAGCACATAAAAAGGGCTTCTAGAAAGCACCCAGGTGACAAGACCCGTGTGTCGTAACTTGGCAAAGGAAGGATAAAGAGGGGAGTGGGTGACCCGCTGCTGAGGAACGGTGCAAGGAAGGTGCATTTACAGAATAGGTTGTTAGCTAAAGGGAGAGGAGTGAAGTATAAGGGCTGTGGGTCCAATCCTGCCTGTCCTGGTGACAAGTCCTCAATAACTCGTGTGCACGGAGCTAGTCCCCCAAAGAGAGGGCAGAACTTAGCCCCATCTGCACCCCCCTTTTCCAGCCACTTCAAATGCACTGGGCAAGCCAAGCCCCGTCACTTGTCAGCATTGTGATGGCTGTGTGTGTTCTTCCTACCTGCCTCGTGCCTTACCTAGGGGAAATCTTGAATTCTCGCTGTGCTTTGATCAATAGACGAAATACTGTAAACTTAAGATTTATTTTTCTTTTTTTGCATTGTTCCCGGCAGTGTGCCTCTGGTTCACTTGTCTAGTACAAACCGTTACCTTTATTTAAAAAAAAAAAAAAAGAGGAGGAGGAAAAGAAACCTAAAGAGGAGCTAATCCTGATTTAAAAACACAGACGTGACCCTTCCCGTTCTGCATTGTGGAACTGCATGGGCCCAGCGCCCCTAGACCCCAGCCAAGAACTATTAAGTCAGAGTCAGCTTTATTGAAGCAAAATATTAATTTGCCTTCTGGGAATTTTAAACACTCTTGCAATCAGAAATGAACTCGGCCTTTGGAAGTTATAGTCCTGATTGATTTTTTTTCTTTCTTTTTTTTTTTTTGCAAGGCATGAGTATGGGGAGTTTATTTACAGAGCAAAACGTGGCAGAGAGGAGTTTCCCATTTAAATAAGGTCCTGTGTTTTGTTGCCTTAGCTATGGCCAGCCTCAGCGCGCCCTGATGACAACTCGTGGGGAGTTTCAAGCAGTCGGGAGGAGCGGGGCCGGATCCTGCCGGCTCCTCTCGGGCCCGTAGGGGCGCGGAGAAGGGTCCAGGCTCCTGCCCCCCGGGGGTGCTGGGATCCAGGGCGGTGGAGCCGAGCCAGGGGGAGAGGCTGAGGGGCGCGGGGCCTGTGCGAGAAAATGGAGCATTTTGCACATTCCACGGTTTGGCAAACTCCGAGCTAGTTATTTTCTCTAGTCCAGTATCAAATTCTTCTCAGGCATATGATTTCACTTGAAGTCCTGCCCAGGAATCCTTCAAAGTGAGCGTTTGTCCTGCTCTCATGATGTCAGGCGGTTTTCCCTGCATCTGTAATTTGAAGGAAAACAAACAAACGTGCGGGGAACAAATGTTAGGGCAAGTCCAGCAACAGGCCGCGGGGAAAGGGGGTTCACCTGCGGCGCGCGTAAACACGGGCCGGGGGGGGGGGGTGGCCTTGGCGCTCACAGATGGGAGCGACCCAGGGGCTCCTACTGCAGATCAAACGAGGTCACGTTAACAGGCGGAGAGAGGGAAGACCCGGGGCAAACGGCTTGAACAGGCAGGGCCGGGGCTTGGTGTCCCCGGGGCAGGGGCTGTTCAGGATCGGGCCCCGCCGCCGCGGGAGGAGCCGGGCAGCGCCGGGGCGATCAGGCCTGGCCCCGGGCCCGGGCGGGGGGTGCCCAGCGAGCATCTCGGGCGAGCCAGGAGCCGGGCGGGGGGGCCCGAGGCACGGATCCGCGAGGCTTGCCGCAGCCCTCCGGGACCCCTTTGCACTAGGAAGCGCAGCGCAGGATGCGATTTCCATTAGCTGCTGCCCCAGTTGCTGTCGACTCCAGCCCAACTTAATGCGCTCAGCAAATCAAAGCACGTGCCCTTTGAAGAAGGTGTGTAATTGGAGTTTGAGGCATGTATGGAATTCCCAGATGTCTATAAAATAAGAAGGGAGCATTTGGCAGGTCACTGGAAGGTGGAGCAGGTTAAAACACTTGCACCGAGTCCTTCTTTTCTTCTTCTTCCTAGTTTTTGGTTGGGTTTTTTTTTTAAAGCAAACAGCCGCTCTAAGGACCAAGTGCTAAGGATCCCAGGAGGCTTTGTACAGTTTTGCAAACATAACTGGAGAATCCCAACCCATGGCTTGAAAAATGTACATAGACATTGCAGGCTCGTTTTGAGCAGCCCAGTGGAAAACTCTCCTGTCCTGCCAGTCTCCTTCTCCCTGAGCCCGTCTCCT